TAAAAAAAAAAAAAAAAAACGGCAAATTGAAATTTCCTCATGAAAGAGGTACACATGGTCAATAGGCACCTGAAAAATTGGTCAACACAGTCATTTGGAAGTGCAAATCTAAATTATACTAAGACTGAGGCGTAGGCTAGAGAGATGGCTCAGCGGTTAAGAGCACTGACTGTTCTTGCAGTGGACCTGGGTTCAATTCCCAGCACCCACATGGCAGCTAGGAACCATCCTTAACTCCAGTTCCACATGCAGGCAACACGCTCATACACATTTAAAAAAAAAAAGACTGAGGCAATCAAAAAGACAAAATACTGGGCCCAGAGGGTTGGCTCAGTGGGTAAAGGCATCTGCTGCCAAATCTGACAATCTAAGTTTTATCTCAAGGACCACATGGTGGAAAGAGAACCAATTCCCACAAACTGTCTTCTGACCTGACATGTGTATACCAACACAAACACACACGTACATGCAAATAAACATATATATAGATAGATAGATAGATATATAGAGAGATATATATAGAGATATATATAGATATATAGAGAGATATATATATAGAGATATATAGATATAGATATATAGATATAAAATTTTTCTGAATCAAATACAAACTATTGCATTCTGCAAGGAAACCTGCCTTGACCTTCCACATCACTCAACAATCAAGAAGGTGCCCCATGGACATGGCCACAGACCACTCCAATGAAGGAAATTCCCCAATTGAGGTTCCCTCAACCCAAGTGTGTCAAGTTGACACCAAAGCTATCCAGCACAAACACTTACTTTTTCTGTGTATATTGTATTTTCATTGCTACCAGAACTCTTAAAAAGATTGAAAAATAGAAAGCTCTATCTTCATTCACTTACTCAACACATTTTATTCCTTACCTAAGGCTCCAGAAACAAGAAAGGATTGAAGCAGAAATGGACCCTGCCCTTGTGGAAATTATATTCACATGGAGGAAAGAAGGTATTTAGACCCAGGACTGGGTTAACTGGTACAAAAGAGTTCTATGAGTGAAACCTTGTCTAGAGGTCAAGGCAGGTTTCCTTGCAGAATGCATTGCATTTGAGGTAAGGCATTTAGAGTATTGCAGAAGTAGCTCTCTGAAGAGTGGAGGAAGGACAGTTCCAAGGAGCAACACATGGGAAGGTGCTGGGAAGTAATTGAAGTTAGCCTCTGGCTCCAGGAGGAGCAAGTGCTAGGATTGGGAGCCTCATTTGGAAATTGCACCCGCTGATAGCTAAGCTCTCTTCCATAACTAGCCCTACCCAGCCAGAAGTATAGCCTTCTGTCCTTCTATACAACCATCTGTAGCTGATGACAGTATTAAATACATTCAAATACAATAAATGTGTATTACAATAATTTCTAAAGTGCTTTTAGGTATGTTATCACTAATTCTCTGCAGACCTTTGAGAGGATTATAAAGAGAAAGCAGCTCTGCCAGGTTATGACACAAATAGTGAGGACTTGAAACCACATCTGACCAAATTCTAGATTTGCTGTCCTGGACCAGATGATTTGGGACTGTTGGGGCCTACAGACTTTAATCTCATTGCATGACCATAAGCACAGCTTTCTTTTGTGAAATATGCTAAATACAACTTTGAAAAGCAGGGCAAGAGGTCAAAGGTGGAGAAGAGAGCCTGGCCCCTTTCTGGAAGCAGTAAGAACCTGTCCTTTGAGTCCTCAATGAAGTGTAGATCTTAGGTCAGCAGAGTGTCCCAATGTAGTATTTCTCTGTATATCTAAACAGAATGAAGAAGGGACTCTATGAAACCAGTGTCAACACTTTAGCTTAAAAGAATTTTAGAATGGGGGCATATGCCTTTAATCCCAGTACAGACGCAGAAGCAGATTTACATAGTGAGTTCCAGACCAGTTGTGGCTACAGGGAGACCCTGTCTCAAAAAGACCAAAAAAAAAAGAATTTTAGAAGCTGAGGGTTACTCGTGGGGCAGGTATAAAAATGGCATGACAGGACTGGGGATATAGCACAATTGCAGAGCAATCACCTAGCATGTATGAGACCCTACTTAGATCCCCAGCAGCAGAAGAAAAGGGGGGAGGGGGAAGATGACTGACAGGATCCTTTTAATTAAGCAGAATAATTGTAGAGTCCATAATTCTAGGATAGGTTTCTTGGATCACACTTGGAAGTACTTTTCTTTAGCTCTTGATCCTTCTTGAGACAGTGAACCTTTTATCAGACACAATGGGTTTGGCTCCGTTCTAATTTGTGCTTCTTTCAGAACACTAGTGGTCTGTACAAACAGCAGAAACAAGTGATGCTTTGCAAGTACAGAGCAAGCAGATATATTAGCTTGACCAGAAAAATAAAAGTGCTGGAAGAATTAATTCCCATTTCATCAGATTTTCTCCCATTCCAGTGTCCAGGAGTCCTGGGATTTAGAATACAGGAAACCTTCCTAGGCCACAAAAAATGGCTTCTATTTCTGATGGGCTGGTGTGTGACAGGCTTTGTGTGGGCAGCACCAGTTAGCTGCTTAGCTGCTTTTCTGCAGTGGAGAGTCTGCATCACTTAAATGTTGCTTTCCATTTCTACTCTGCCCAACTCTTGTGCTAGTAACTTGTTTGTCCCCACTTTCATGTGTGTTTGCTCTACCAAGACCTGTACTACAATTAGAGTAGGCCAGTTCACAAACAGTGACACTGAAACCTCAATTTATGGCGAGGTGGCACAGAAATGCTGGCCCCAAGAGTCAGTCCTTGGGCTTTGAGATAAAGCCTACTTTGTGCTACACAGAAGAACTCCTATAGATGAAAGCATCATTAGACGGTGACACAAAGACGGAATCTTGAGAAATTAAAAATTATTCTCTGGAACTTAAGTATCTTAGAAGCTTATCAGGTTTCCATTTTGAAAGGAAAACTAAGCACTAGTATTAAGTATATGTGTCTTTAATTTTCTGAGGGTAATATATACACTGCATTCAAATTCCAACTGATAAACATCAGTACATGGATTCCATGCCCCCACCTCCTCAAAATTGAATATCAAACCAGATAGCTTACTTCCCCACCATATGGTCTTGAGTTCCTTATCTGAGTCAGTTGAGTCATCATTCTTATAGTGGTCATTTCAACAACTTCCTTTTATTTCATGAGATTTCAAGAATCATGCTTTGTAATGCCTCATAGCCTGTCTTCACCTTTCCAGCCTTATTAATCACAGGCTAAACTGAAGCCATTTCTTTATGAGTATAACCACCTTCATGCTTCTTACATGCCCCTTGGTCCCATCATCAGAGAAATCCTTCCAAACATGTCAGAAGCTATTAATGGTAACTACTTTAAAATATATATATCATTTTTATTTTATGTGTGTGAGTATACTGCCTGCACATGTGTAGGTGCACCTATGCCGTGCAATGCCCGCAGAGGTCAGAAG